AAGCAGAACTAGAATTCACCGTCTCCTGGTGATTGGTCCCAAATCACCCAGCCTGCTTTCATGCCTAAAGCAGAACTAGAATTCACCGTCTCCTGGGGATTGGCCCAATCTCACCCAGCCAGTTTTCACGTCGAAGACAGGACTAGAACTCACCATCTCCTGGTGATTGATCCACAGTCCACCAGTTGGCTTTCATGCCTAAGGTGGGATTCAACTTTGTCTTAATTTGCAATAATATTTGGTAAAAATGCAAACCACTTTGCATCTTTTAAGGGGTGGGGGGGTGAATCGTTCAGAAATGGGGAGGTTGAATGCAATTGCAGTACTGAGATACCCTCGCCAGGTGGCGCTCTAGGGACAACACCCCCCCCAAAAAAACCGCTGGAAATTCATGGGAAAAAGAAGATTTTAAATAAAATCTTAAATAAAAATAAATTTAAAAAGTAGTTTTAAATAAAAACTATCTTGCTATAGTTACCAGGAAGTGGTTTTTCGTCTTCTGAAAGGACAGTGACATCTGCTAGCCTTGGACTGCCCCATCCCACCTCCTCTCCCCCTGCATGGATGACCTTCAAAGCGAAGTCCAACGACATCCTTTGCTCATCCTCCCACTTAAGGAGGCCGTCAAAATCAGTCCTTGCATTATTTCTCCCTCCCTTGTATTTCTTCGTTCCTCCCCTGGCAGGAGAACGCAGGCTTGTTATCTTGGCTGCCTCCGGGGGAAACTTGGTGTCCCTGGAAAGTCCTTTTCAGGGTCACGTTATCAAGTCCCGGAGAAGACTGGGGGGGGGGGTGTTTCTGCAGGAGACGTCAAGGAGCCAAGATCTTCTCGAGGTCATCCAGAGAGCAAGCCGGTCCTTTCGGAGTTCAAAAGGAAAGGAAGAGGCGGGGGAGAAGGGAGAATTTTCTGAGCGGCTTCTCCCAATAGATGGAAATCCAGCCTGCACACCCGAGTCCTCGACTCGCGACCGTTCGTTCAGCGACCGCTTGAAGGCGCAGCAGCGCTGAACGGCCGTCGCAGCGCTCCCCACCGCCCTAGGGGTCAAAATTGGGGCCTTGGCAAGCCGCAGGCAGGCCCAACATCTGCAGGGTCTCAGCTGTTAAATCTCCATTTGCAGCTGGCTTCCGACAAGCAAGGTCAAAGGGGAAGCTGAATTCGTTTTAACGACCACGGGGTTCGTTTAACAACCTCGGTGATTCACTTCACCCTAGCGAAATAGGACAGGTCCTAAAATCGAGCGCGACTCACTTAACAACCGGTTTGCTTAGTGACAGAAAGTCCGGTCCCAGTTGAGAGTGTCTCCGTAGCGTATTTAGTATGAGTGTGGTCAAGAGGTTACGGCATCGGGCTAGAAACCAGGAGATGGTGAGTTCTAGTCCTGCCTTAGGCATGAAAACCGGGGGTAACTTTGAGCCGATCATCAGGAGACAGTGAGTTCTAGTCCCGCCTTAGCCATGAAAGCCGGTAAGGTGCCTGGGACAATCACTAGGAGACTGGGAGTTCTAGTCCTGCCTTAGCCATGAAAACCGTGGGTAACTTTGAGCCAATCATCAGGCGACAGTGAGTTCTAGTCCCGCCTTAGCCATGAAAGCCGGTTAGGCGAGTGGGACAATCACCAGGAGACTGGGAGTTCTAGTCCTGCCTTAGGCATGAAAGCCAGCTGGGTGACTTTGAACCAATCACCAGGAGATGGTGAGTTCTAATCCTGCCTTAGCCATGAAAGACGGCTGGGTGACTTTGGGCCTCTCTCTCGCTCTCACTCTCGCTCTCCCCCTCTCTCCCTCTCCCTCTCTCCCTCTTCCCCCGCTCTCCCTCTCTCCCTCCCCCTCTCTCCCTCTCCCT